CCCCCCCGGTATTACTGTAGTCACACCGAATTACTTTATTAACATAAAAGCAAATATCCATTAAAACTATTAAAGCAGCAAACAATGTACTGATGTACATTTTATATTTTCTAAAGTTTAGTGGTCCAGACTCATTTATCCTGATCTGGTACCATTCCAAACTGGTTTATACTGGTTCTGTGCTGGTCCAGACTAGTTTATGTTGATCTGATATTGATCCGGCTGAGTTTATACAAGCTCTGGGCTCGTCCAGATTAGTTTATGATGGTCCAGTACTTAAATTTGTGATTCTTTTTGTTCAAAGCTTTGCTCAGCCAGTGTTATGGGCCGTGTATGCTGGGATAATAGACCAGCCATTGGGTGGAACTGGAACTCTCTCTGTGGAGAAAATCATCTACCATGCCAACTACAGGCCAGGAGGACTCAGCTACAACATAGCGCTAATAAAGCTTAAACTACCTCTGTCTTTCAATGGTAAGAATTTACTTCTCGTCACGGGCTGAAATATTTGTATAAACAGACTTTTAAATGGGAATATAATCATGGCTTTACTACAATACATCTCCTTTTTCTCCCTTTCCAGAACAAGTAGTACCCATCTGTTTGCCCAGTTATGGCGAGAGCTTTGAGGATGGACAGATGTGTTTGATCTCAGGCTGGGGAGCCACAGTGGATAGTGGTGAGTGTTAGCACACTTTTAAGGGTACTTAATAGAGAAAAAGTTGAATGGCTGGTATTTATTGTGTAAATGCTTGTAGTAAACAAGTTTCACAGCTTTTGAAGACATGTTGAACTGTATTGCTTTCAACTGAGTGTATTTATAAAGTCAATTCTTCAGAATACACATGTGTGTGTCGTGCAGGAGAGGCCAGTGTGTCCCTACATACCGCTCAGGTCCCATTACTGTCCAGCAGAGACTGCCGCAGACTGGGTCTGACCTCCTGGAACATCTGTGCAGGATTCTCAGAGGGTGGTGCTGGAACATGTCAGGTACTGCATCTGAGTGTCATCACAATAAACTACAATAACTGTTATTAAAGCAAGCACTCTTAAATGTATCTGCACCTTAGTTGAACCCCTAGTCTTCTGTCTGTAGGGGGACAGC